CATATCTAGGGCTCATGCTAGGGTCCATACTAGGGCCCAGATAGGGCAAACTTAGGCCCAACCTGAGGCCAAATTCAGTCCAACTTCGGGCCCATCTTAAGGCTCAAATTAGCTCATACTAAGGCCAAATTAAGGGCAAACTAAGGTCAGACTAGGGCCATCCTAAGGTCAAACTAAGGCCAAACTAGGGTCAAACTAAGGCCAATCTAAGCTCAACCTAAGGTCAAACTAAGCCCAAACTAGGGTCAAATTAGGGTCAATTTAGGCCCTAACTAGGCCAAACTAAGGCCAAACTAAGGCCAAATCAAGGCCAAACTAAGGTCAAACTAAGGCCAAACTAAGGTCAAACTAAGGCCAAACTAGGGCCAACTTAGGGCTAACCTAGGTCCAAATAAGGCCCAACTTAGGCCAAATTAAGGCCAAACTAAGGTCAAACTAAGGTCAAACTAAGGCTAAACTAAGGTCTAACTAAGGCCAAACTAAGGCCAAACTACGGTCAAACTAAGTCCAAACTAAGGTCAAACTAAGGCCAAAATAAGGTCAAACTTATGTCAAATTAAGGGCAAATTAAGGTCAGATTAAGGCTAAACTAAGGCCAAACTAAGGTCAAACTAAGGTCAAACTAAGGCCAAACTAAGGTCAAACTAAGGCCAAACTAAGGTCAAACTAAGGCCAAACTAAGGCCAAACTAAGGCCAAACTAGGGTCAAATTAAGCCAAACTAAGGCCAAACTAAGGCCAAACAAAGGTCAAACTAAGGCCAAACTAAGGTCAAACTAAGGCCAAACTAAGGCCAAACTACGGTCAAACTAAGGCCAAACTAAGGTCAAACTAAGGTCACACCTTAAGGCCAAACTAAGGTCAAACTAAGGCCAAACTACGGTCAAACTAAGGCCAAACTAAGGTCAAACTAAGGCCAAACTAAGGTCAAACTAAGGCCAAACTAAGGCCAAACTAAGGCCAAACTAAGGCCAAACTACGGTCAAACTAAGCCCAACTAAGGCCAAACTAAGGTCAAACTTAGGTCAAACTAAGGCCCAACTAAGGTCAAACTAAGGTCAAACTAAGGTCAAACTAAGGCCAAACTAAGGTCAAACTAAGGGCCAACTAAGGTCAAACTAAGGGCCAAACTAAGGTCAAACTAAGGGCAAACTAAGAGCCAACTAAGGCCAAACTACGGTCAAACTAAGGCCAAACTAAGGCCAAACTTAGGCCAAACTACGGTCAAACTAAGGTCAAACTAAGGGTAAACTAAGGTCAAACTAAGGCCAAACTAAGGCCAAACTACGGTCAAACTAAGGTCAAACTAAGGCCAAACTAAGGCCAAACTACGGTCAAACTAAGCCAAACTAAGGCCAAACTAAGGCCAAACAAAGGTCAAACTAAGGCCAAACTAAGGTCAAACTAAGGCCAAACTACGGTCAAACTACGGTCAAACTAAGGCCAAACTAAGGCCAAACTAAGGCCAAACAAAGGTCAAACTAATGTCAAACTAAGGTCAAACTAAGGCCAAACTAAGGTCAAACTAAGGCCAAACTAAGGCCAAACTAAGGCCAAACTACGGTCAAACTAAGGCCAAACTAAGGCCAAACTAAGGCCAAACTAAGCCAAACTAAGGCCAAACTAAGGCCAAACTAAGGCCAAACTAAGGTCAAACTACGGTCAAACTAAGGTCAAACTAAGGCCAAACTAAGGCCAAACTAAGCCAAACTAAGGCCAAACTAAGGCCAAACAAAGGCCAAACTAAGGCCAAACTAAGGCCAAACTAAGGTCAAACTAAGGCCAAACAAAGGTCAAACTAAGGTCAAACTAAGGTCAAACTAAGGCCAAACTAAGGCCAAACTACGGTCAAACTAAGGCCAAACTAAGGTCAAACTAAGGCCAAACTAAGGCCAAACTAAGGTCAAACTAAGGCCAAACAAAGGTCAAACTAAGGTCAAACTAAGGTCAAACTAAGGCCAAACTAAGGTCAAACTAAGGCCAAACAAAGGTCAAACTAAGGTCAAACTAAGGTCAAACTAAGGCCAAACTAAGGTCAAACTAAGGCCAAACTAAGGCCAAACTAAGGCCAAACTAAGCCAAACTAAGGCCAAACTAAGGCCAAACTAAGGCCAAACTAAGGTCAAACTACGGTCAAACTAAGGTCAAACTAAGGCCAAACTAAGGCCAAACTAAGCCAAACTAAGGCCAAACTAAGGCCAAACAAAGGTCAAACTAAGGCCAAACTAAGGTCAAACTAAGGCCAAACTAAGGCCAAACTAAGGCCAAACAAAGGTCAAACTAAGGCCAAACTAAGGTCAAACTAAGGTCAAACTAAGGCCAAACTACGGTCAAACTAAGGCCAAACTAAGGTCAAACTAAGGCCAAACTAAGGTCAAACTAAGGCCAAACTAAGGCCAAACTAAGGTCAAACTAAGGTCAAACTAAGGAGAAGCTCTGCAGACGGCTCCAGGCGTTTGGCGACTGCTATGGAGCTCATATTCACCTCATATTCACCTCATATTCATATTCATATTGTTTATTTCATCCTACAGATGGGCAGGTCAGTGGGACTGCTGATTATGTCCACATCTGGACAATAATGTCTTGTATAGTCATCAAAACAGCTGAGGTGTTTACTACAAATACACAAGGTAGTTATAGTCATGACGTTTCATGACATAAACACTGATGTTGTCGTGCTGTTGGATTCAGGTCTTCACCTCGATATACATCAGGAGAACGCAGCAGCAGCACTGAGTGGCTGGTGTCGCCTGCCTCTGGTCATAAAGCTCCACAGCTTTCAGACGATGACGATAGAGGAGACTCGGTGTGTCTAAGCCCCTCATCCCTCGCTGTGATCTCCAGGGTAGAGAAGCTCCAGCCATCGAAAATCGTTCATCATCAAACCATAACATTATGCACATGGTGAATTTCTCCAATGAATCATGGCAGATTATAAACGATGATGATTCCCAAACGGAATAATGTCTGATCAACTTCTGCACGTCGTGGGCTGGAAAACAGTCATGAACCCCCATCAATAAAAAGCGAGAGCGTGACGTCACCAGGCCTTGTATGATCTAATCCAGGGGTCTTCAACGTTTTTCAGGCCAAGGACCCCCAAACTGATGGCGAGGTGGAGCAGGGACCTCATATTCTACAGAGTTTCGTCCACCATCTTTTATTTTTGAGCTTTGCGCTTTTACGTGAGCATGAACGCGATCTGATTGGCTGGTGCCTGATCTGTCGCATCAGCATGAAAGGAGCTGTGAGTGAACCGGAGCTTGAGAGCTGCTGAGGGAAGCTGGATGTGTGTTTTGCGGACTGAAAGATAACGTCTTCTCCATTAATGTATCCATTCGCCACATTTATGTTGGATTTATGTTAATGTGTAACAATAAAGAAGACAATAAATACAATTCTGATTCTGAAGACATTTAAATTTGTGGAAAAAAAATTGTCTCAATTTTGCGACCCCCCCTGCAGTACCTCCGCGGACCCCCTGTTGAAGACGTCTTTATGGTAGAATTAAAACAACACGAAACTAGATGCAAAAGCCGTAAATGAGCGGTTACCGCCAACGTGCCTGAATGTCCACATAAAAACACACAGTTTCCGTCTGACAAACAAAACACGTCCACGACATCTGTGATTTCCGGCGTCACTTTCCCGCGGGTTCGCGGAGGGGCGGGCTCACGTGCGGCGGCGGTGCATTCTATTGGACAGCCCGACACTCACCCGCCGCTGGTACAAAGCACGTGTGCGGAGCGGACCAATCGCTGGCCGCGTCCTCCTCGCAGTGGCGCGAAAACCTCCTCAGAGTGTCGTCCGCCCGCAGCGAAGCCGCGCGCCGTTCAGCATCGCTCCCGACAGCTACAGACGAAACCCCGCCATGGCCACCGACGTCGCAGATGACCAGGAGATGAGGGAGGCGCAGCGGGACTACCTGGACTTTTTGGACGACGACGTAAGTCCGCCTCTGATCCGGTTCGACGCTTAGTTGTGGCGAAGGAATCAGAAACCACGTGGTTGTAAGAAAAGAACGAGCAGTCCGCGCGCTGCTGTCGGTAAACGGTAACTACTTGTCGGTTAACGGTAACTAGCTGTGGGTTAACGTTAACTAGCTGACCGCGACAGCTGACGATCTGTTCCCTGAAACCAGTGAAGCGTTGCGTTGTGTTTGTGTTGACAATGTGCGAAGAAACACAAACACTGTGTCCGTCTCCTGCAGCAAGACCAGGGGGTTTACCAGAGCAAAGTCCGGGACATGATCGGGGAGAACAAAGCGCGGCTCGTCGTCAACATCAACGACCTGAGGAGACGCAACGAGGCCCGGGCTGCAAAGTGAGTGTGTGTGTGTGTGTGTGTGTGTGTGTGTGTGTGTGTGTGTGTGTGTGTGTGTGTGTGTGTGTGTGTGTGTGTGTGTGTGTGTGTGTGTGTGTGTGTGTGTGTGTGTGTGTGTGTGTGTGTTATTACCAAACCGATTCACACACAGGAGTGTCAAATGCAGGACCAGACCCACTGCCATTAGAGCCACCAACAGCTGAGAGGGTTCTATGACCTAATTCACGTACTGTTACTGTACTGTTCATTTATATTTCGCACATTTCATTTAAATTAAGTTTTTTCTTTTACGACCTGCTCAGATTTGCACTTTTCCTCCTCAGCTCAATTTAAATTTTTTATTACATGTACATTCATGTAAATATTGTATTCTTATTCTTATTTTAATTTTTAAAATTGGTCGGCTCTCCGGAAAGGCACAATAATTTAAATACACAGGGTGTGAACGGTGTGTAAATGACAATAGAATCTTGAATCTTGAGTGACCCGTAGTGTGTGTCGTGGTCTAACGGTCGTCTCTCTCGTCCTCTCCGGCAGGCTGATGAGCAACGCCTTCGAGGAGCTGCAGGCGTTCCAGCGCGCCCTGAAGGAGTTCGTGGCCTCCGTGGACGCCACCTACTCCAAGCAGTACGAGGAGTTCTTCATCGCCCTGGAGGGCAGCTTCGGGACCAAGCACGTCACCCCCCGGACCCTGACCTCCCGCCTGCTGGGCAGCATGGTGTGCGTGGAGGGCATCATCACCAAGTGTGAGTGTGTGTGTGTGCGTCCTTCGTGCAGTGTGTGAGTGTGTGTGTGTGTGCGTCCTTCGTGCAGTGCGTGCGTCAGACCGGGCGCAGCGAACCTGTCTCGTTGTCTTCTTCAGGTTCCCTGGTGCGTCCCAAAGTGGTGCGCAGCGTCCACTACTGCCCGGCCACCAAGAAGACGATGGAGAGGAAGTACACCGACATGACCTCGCTGGACGCCTTTCCTTCCAGCGCCATCTACCCCACCAAGGTGACCATCCTTGTATCTGCTTAGCCCCGCCCCCCTCCCTCCCCCATCCCAGCCCCCACCTCACCTCCCGTGTTCCTGTCACCAGGACGAGGAGAACAACCCGCTGGAGACGGAGTTCGGCCTCTCCGTCTACAAGGACCACCAGACCATCACGGTGCAGGAGATGCCGGAGAAGGCCCCGGCCGGCCAGCTGCCCCGCTCCGTGGACATCATCCTGGACAACGACCTGGTGGACGTCGTCAAGCCGGGAGACCGAGTCCAATCCATCGGGACGTACCGCTGCCTGCCGGGCAAGAAGGGAGGCTTCACCTCCGGGACGTTCAGGTGAGACGGGGTGCAGCGTGCGCCTGGAGCGCCGCGTCGCCGTGTTCGCCGTTACTGACGAACCCGCTGTCTTCATCAGGACCATCATGATCGCCTGCCACATCAAACCCATGAGCAAGGAGGTGTCCCCCAACTTCTCAGCTGATGACGTGGCAAAGATCAGGAAGTTCAGCCAGAACCCCCACTTGGTGAGACCGGCTAACTGTCCCCCGGCTAACTGTCCCCCGGCTAACTGTCCCCCGGCTAACTGTCCCCCGGCTAACTGTCCCCCGGCTAACTGTCCCCCGGCTGCTTGAATTGTCTCTGCTCAGGATGTGTTCGATCAGCTGGCTCGCTCGCTGGCTCCCAGCATCCACGGCCACGAGTACATAAAGAAGGCCATCCTCTGCATGCTGCTGGGCGGCGTGGAGAAGGTTCTGGAGAACGGGTCGCGCATCAGAGGAGACATCAACATCCTGCTCATCGGTACCGACTTCTTCTCCTGGGCGTGACCCTTTTCGTTGGGCGGCGGTTGGTCTCATCACGTCTTCTCCTCCACCAGGCGACCCGTCGGTAGCCAAGTCCCAGCTGCTGCGTTACGTGCTTCACACGGCGCCCAGGGCCATCCCCACCACGGGGCGGGGCTCCTCCGGCGTGGGTCTCACCGCCGCCGTCACCACCGACCAGGAGACGGGTACGTGACGCACGTCATCGGCGGCGCCTCCTTTGGCCCGCACGCTAACGCTCTGCGATTCCCGCCCCCCCCCTCTAGGCGAGCGCCGTCTGGAGGCGGGGGCCATGGTGCTGGCCGACCGCGGCGTGGTGTGCATCGACGAGTTCGACAAGATGTCCGACATGGACCGCACGGCCATCCACGAGGTGATGGAGCAGGGCCGCGTCACCATCGCCAAGGCGGGAATCCACGCCCGCCTCAACGCCCGCTGCTCTGTGCTGGCGGCCGCCAACCCCGTCTACGGGAGGGTGAGCAGCCGATCCGCCCAGAACTCCTCCCACTCCTCCCCCCCCCCCCGCGTTCCAATGCTCACCTGCTCTCGTCTTGTGCAGTACGACCAGTACAAGACCCCCATGGAGAACATCGGCCTGCAGGACTCCCTGCTGTCCCGCTTCGACCTGGTCTTCATCGTGCTCGACCAGATGGACGCCGAGCACGACCGCGAGATCTCCGACCACGTGCTGAGGATGCACCGCTACCGCGACCCCCGCGAGCAGGAGGGAGCAGGTGCCGTGCACGGCCGACGTCTTGCGGGCCGCGCGCCGGTATCGGCGTGCGCCGTCCGCTTAACCGCGTCTCCTCCCGTTGTTTTGTTTAGCGATGGCGTTTGGCGGGACGGTCGACGTCCTGGCTACCGAAGACCCAGACGCGATCGTGGAGGAGCACGAGGAGCTGCAGATCTACGAGAAGCACAACAACCTGCTGCACGGGAGCAAGAGGAAGCGGTAGGACACCAAACGTGTCCTCCTCGAGGCGAGGAGCCTCCTGGTGGTTTGGGTCTGAGAAGAATAACCGAGGACGTTCTTGTGTCCCTGGTGTCAGGGACAAGATCGTGAGCAAGGAGTTCATGAGGAAGTACATCCACATCGCGAAGGCGGTGACCCCCGTGCTGACGGAGGAGGCGGCCAATCACATCGCGGAGGAGTACTCGAGGCTGAGGAGCCAGGAGCAGATGGGGGCCGACATGGCCAGGGTGAGCAGCGCGCCGGCGCCTCGTCCTTTCGCGGCGGACGGTTGGAGTTCCGTGTCCTTGACCGTGGTCCCCCTGGTGTTCCCAGACGTCCCCGGTGACGGCCCGCACGCTGGAGACGCTGATCCGCCTGTCCACGGCGCACGCCAAGGCCCGCATGAGCAAAGCCGTGGAGCGGGAGGACTCCGAGGTGGCCGTGGAGCTGGTGCAGTTTGCCTACTTCAAAAAGGTCTTTCCCCCCCGTTCTGCCCCGATGGACCACGCGCGTTCAAGGCGTGAACAAAGCTCACGGTCTGGTTTCCTCCACAGGTCCTGGAGAAGGAGAAGAAACGCTCGAGACAAGAGCGGGACTCTGGCTCGGAGGAGGAAGAGGAGGCCTCCAGCCAGACGTCACAGAAAACCACCAAGAGGTGATGTGCGGGTGCACGCGTTGACTAGAAAGATGACTAGAATCGTTGCTAACGTGGGCCTGTGCGTCCTGCAGGGGGCGACGTGGTCCTCAGGGCGCTGACGCCTACAGCCCGTACGACTTCAGCGAGGAGCAGGACGTCCCTCAGAGTGAGCGCCGCCTTTATTCCCCTTCACAGCATCGGGTTCCTCCGTAGAACCCTGTAGAGGTTCATTGGTGTTGTTCAGTTTACATCTCGTCTGTGTTCTGCTCTCTAGTTCAGGCCGGCGCTCAGAAAGCAGCCAAGGGACAGCGGGGGGAGGAGGAGCCTATGGACACGGCGGCGAAGGCCGGAGACCCCGAGCTCTCCGCTGAGAGGTGGGCGGAGCCGATGTGTTCTAAGTCATTGCCACAAACGACTCGTGAGTCGGGGCCCCGTTCCACCAAGTCCTCCTCCCTACGGGGAGGATCCTCCAGAGGTTCCTTGTTCTCCCCGTCGGACCTGGACAGGATGTCTCACGTGTGCAGAGCGTGTCCCCGCTGCGAGGACCACACGCTCCTACCGGGAGTTAAAGTGCCTCATCACCTCGATCACTCAGATTCTGTTTCTTTAAATGACACGAATGATCAACTCCTTCACAATAAGTAGATAAAAACACCCAGAAGTTTATTAAACGCCAAGTAGACTTCTTGTAAATGATTTGTTACTCGCACCATCGTACAGGAAGTCACCGTGACAGCGTAACGGATCTTTGACCTTGTTGATCTGCTGACCTCAATGAGTCTCAGCAGGTCTTTGGGTGTGTTGCTATGGCGACGTTGCCACGCTGATGTGATCTCATGTTTTTGTAAACATAATCCTGCTTGGCGTTGTTTGTCCAGTGGGCGGGGCTTGCCGTGAGGCCTCATGGGGTCCGTTCTCTCCCACCAGGCTGAAGGAGTTCATGGCGTCCCTGTTCGACGTGTTCCAGTCGGCTCACGCTCAATCGGTGGAGATGAAGAAGCTGACGGAGGGCGTCAACAAGGGCCGCGAGCGGCGCTTCACGGAGGCCGAGGTGCGCGGCGCTCTGGCTCGCATGCAGGAACACAACCAGGTGATGCTGTCTGGTGACGTGGTCTTCCTCATCTGAGGGGCTGCCGGTGGTCACGTGGACTCAAGGACACGGGGGACTTGTTTTTGTACCCTGTTTAACCCCTTCGTGTGGCGCCGATGAGCTCAGTTTGTTCTCCACTAAGCGGAGTACCAACAAACGTGATGTCGGGATTTGTAAATAGTTAAAGTTTTGATATTGTAGTTGTGCATTAAAACATTAAACATAATGAAACACACACGACTTGTTGAAATGATTGACAGATGCTCCTTCATGCACGCCGTCGCCTGTTGATCCTCCCGTCAGCATGAAACCGGCGCCTTGGACCTCTTCATTGGTTGTAAGTGAACTATCGCTGTGGTGGACCAGGAGCTCCTGGACCTCCGCAGGCTCCTCGTGGTCCCTGGTTGTCGGCTTTGCAGTCAAACTGCAGGAACCGTCTCTGCGGTGAAATGGGCCGTCCTGCTGGCGTGACGACGGCCCGGTCCTTTAGAGGCGGAGACACCCGTGATGAGCCACGCCGGCTGCTCTGAATGAAACGAGGACAAAGAGAATCTGCGTCGCATGCGTGCGTTCAGGCGACTCCGTTACGCTTTTACACTTCAGTGGGTCCATTGTTAAATGACGAGATGTTAAAGTTTCATTTTCACCTCTTTAAGATGTTTTTCGTTTACAAAAACCCAGCCGGGCCTCAAACGCGCCGGTGTTCCTCAGAACGAAGCGTGACGGAGGTTTGATGGTGACAGCAGGCTGACGTAGGAGAGGCTGCGGAGCTGCTGAGAACTTCACCAGTTCCCAGAACAGCTGCTCTGAAGAACGCTGCCGTGGGCGGCCGGTCCCACGAAGTTCACCGGATCAACGCGACCAAACCGGATTCGGTTTCAGCTGGTGGTTGGTTCGGGGGGGGACGGGGGCGGGACGTCCCTCGTCTCTGCGCCCACAGCGTCGCAGCCGTTGGGTCTCCCACTTTGGGCCCGGGGGTGCTGCTGTGGTTCTGATGGCCCCGATAAGGCCTCTCGACACCCACGGCTGACTCAGATCACGGTTTGGTACGGACGCAGCGGCCGGCGTCCTCGCCTCATGTTACTTTGACTGTTGAAACTCGCTTCCCACGAGGTCGTAAAGTCGCTGGCACTGATTCTGTTGCTGTGACCGAAGAAACGCTGCGAGTTCTGGTAAAGAAACGCTTCCATTTGATGTCGGAAAGCACCAGCGCGGCGTTTTGCTTCCTGCTGCGCGGTGATGTGATATCGTGTGATACGCTTTGTTCTCCCGCTTCCATTCGTGACGCTAAGCTTCTGATCAAGGTGGATCTTATCTGTCCCCTAAAGTAAAGAGTGTGTGTGAGGAGGACCACGTGTGACAGCGAGCGGGATCCACTCAGTGACCCTGGTCCAGGTTCCTCACAGGGGAGCTTGGCGTGCAGCGGTTCTTTCTGACGTCGTCCTGCTGGCGCCTCCAGGACGAATCCGCTGCTGTGAGGCGTCTGCAGTAAATAAACCCGTCGCGTCGCCTTCCGTTTGCCTTGTTTGCTCACGCGTCTTAATTTCACTTAAAGGACTTTAAAGCTCGTATAAGAGGACTGATCGTAGAGACAAACGCATACAGGACTGTCTCAGAAAATTAGAATATTGTGATAAAGTTCTTTATTTTCTGTAATGCAATTAAAAAAAAAAATATGCATTCTGGATTCATTACAAATCAACTGAAATATTGCAAGCCTTTTATTCTTTTAATATTGCTGATTATGGCTTACAGCTTAAGAACTCAAATATCTCTAAATATTAGAATATTTCCTCAGACAAAGTAAAAAAAAAGATTTATAACAGCAAAACAAAATCAAACATTTAAAAATGTCCATTAATGCACTCAGTACTTGGTTGGGGATCCTTTTGCACGGATTACTGCATGAATGCGGCGTGGCATGGAGGCAATCAGCCTGTGGCACTGCTCAGGTTTTATGGATGCTTCAATAGCGGCCTTCAGCTCATTTGCATTGTTGGGTCTGGTGTCTTTCAGCTTCTTCTTCACAAAACCCCACATTCTCTATGGGGTTCAGGTCAGGGGAACTGGCAGGCCAATCGAGGGCAGTAATGCCATGGTCAGTACACCAGTTACTGGTGGTTTTGGCACTGTGGGCAGGTGCCAGATCATGCTGGAAAATGAAATCTCCATAGAGCTTCTCAGCAGACGGAAGCATGTAGTGCTCTAAAATCTCTTGGTACACATCTGCATTTACTCTGGACTTGATGAAACACAGTGGACCAACACCAGCAGCTGACATGGCTCCCAAACCATCACTGACTGTGGGAACTTCACACTGGATTTCAAGCAACTTGGATTTTGCTCCTCTCCAGCCTTTCTCCAGCCTCTGGCGCCTTGACTTCCAAATGAACACTTGCTTTCGTCTGAAAAGAGGACTTTGGACCACTCTGCAGCTGTCCGGTGCTTTTCCACAGCCCAAGTCAGACGCTTCTTCCGTTGTCTTGAGTTCAGAGGTGGCTTGACCACGGGAACACGGCTATTGGAGCCCATTTGCCCGACACGTCTGTGAACAGTGGCTTTTGATACCTGGACTCCAGCTTCAGTCCACTGTCTTTGAAGCTCCCCCAGATTCTGGAAGCGACTCTTCTTCACAATGCTCCTAAGGCTGCGGTCGTCTCTCTTGGTTGTGCAGCGTTTCTTTCCCCTTCCAACAGACTTTTTGTGGATGTGCTTTGAAACTGCACTCTGTGAACAGCTTGCTCTTTGAGAAATGTCTTTTTGTGTGTTACCCTCCTGATGGAGGGTGTCAGTGATGGTCCTCTGGACAGCAGTCAGATCAGCAGTCTTCCCCATACTTGTGATTTAGTTTACTGAACCAAGCTGAGTGTTTGTCAAGGCTCAGGAAACCCTTGCAGGTGTTGAGTTAATTAGACGATTCAAGTGATTAGTTGAATACCCTACTAGTATACTTTTCATGATATTCTAATATTTAGAGATATGAGTTCTTAAGCTGTAAGCCATAATCATCAATATTAAAAGAATAAAAGGCTTGCAATATTTCAGTTGATTTGTAATGAATCCAGAATGCATTTTTTAATTGCATTACAGAAAATAAAGAACTTTATCACAATTTTCTAATTGTCCTGTACAGTCCTGTACATTTGCTTTGAGTTGTTCCATGTGTGTCAGTGGCCGACGGGACGGCAGCTCGTCACATCGGCCCGGTGGAGGTAGAAACAGACTGCAATGTAGTCGCCAGGGGCAACGCCTCCCCGCCGGGTCGCACAGTGGGGCAAACACGGATTTAGTCAGCCACCAATTGTGCAAGTTCTCCCACTCAGAGGGATGAGAGATTTTTCATCATAGGTACACGTCAACGATGAGAGACAAAATCCAGAAAACCACATTTATTGGTAAATGATGGTGGATTAGAAGTATTTGGTCAATAACAAACAAGCAGAATGTCTCTCACAGACCTGTAACGTCTTCTTTACGAGGCCCCTCTGTCCTCCACTCGTTACCTGTATTAATGGAACCGGTTTGAACTTGTTATCAGTATAAAAGAGACTTGTCCACAACCTCAAACAGTCACGGTCCAAACTCCACTATGGCCACGACCAAAGAGCTGGCAAAGGACACCAGAAACCAAATTGCAGACCTGCACCAGGCTGGGAAGACTGAATCTGCAATAAACAGCTTGTGTGAAGAAACCAACTGGGAGCAATTATAAGGAAATGAAGACATACAAGACCAGTGATAATCTCCCTCGAGCCGGATCTCCACGCAAGATCTCACCCCGTGAGGTCAGAATGATCACAAGAACCACACGGGGAACCTAGTGAACGACCTGCAGAGAGCTGGGACCAACGTGACGAAGGCGACCGTCAGGATTTGTTTTTCATAGTTGAAGTGTACCTATGATGAAACATCTCTCCTCTCTTCGAGTGGGAGAACTTGGTGGCCGACTAAATGCGTGTTTGCCCCACTGTATACATGCAGCCTTCTGCGTTCCCTTCACACAGAAGCGATTGGCAGTAAGACGTGAGGCAACGTGCAGCCTTAAGGACGTAATGTCCTCTGAAGCAGAGTGTGTCCTCGCCAGGCCTCCACGCAGCCATTTCAGAGGTGGTCACCGACCTCCAGGAGCTCGTCTCTCATGATGCCGGAGGAAAGAAGATGTTATCAGAGGGTTTCTGCTGATTCATTACCAGAACTGTCATCAGCGCTCCCCTGACCTACATCGCTCAGGCTGTGCTGGCAGCCTGGAGGTGTGCTCGCTGTTCTTCTACATGACTAGAACAAAGAAAGTTCAGGCCGTTGATGAAATGTCCCGTCTGGAGGCCTCTTCTGCCCTCATGCAGCACATGAAAACAGCGTGCAATGAGAAAAGTGCACAAGAATAGAAAGTAACCAGTGGACGGGGACAAAGAAAGACCACAAAACCATTCAAGAGATCTTATCTGTCGATCGGCATCTTCAAAAATGGGTGACAGTCATAGCGGAAATGCACCGCCGAGGTTACCAACACACACCAACGCCGTCCGCCTGCATATAAACACGAGCAGGAGGCCTCGCAGTTCACACGGTGCAGGAGAGACCAACCATGCTGCTGGTGAGTGCTTCACTTTTATCCAACGCCACGAGAACAGCGTTGCCCAGCTGTTGGTCACGGACGCAAATGAAAGACGTGTGATATTGTTCCTGTGCAAATGCTCCACGATGGGTGTGGCTTCTGTCGGCCTCTGACGGGCCTCCTGACGTCCAGGTGCTGAGCGCTCTGCTGCTGGTGGGCCTGGCGGCGTCCCACAGGTCGGCCCACGGAGCCCGACTGGCGGGGACGACGTTGAGACTGGTCCTGGATTCCTCAGTGCAGCCTCAGCTGGGCAGCTCCTCCGCGAGCATCGCCAACACGTCTCTGTCCCCGTGGACGTACAGGTGAGGCCTCGTCAGCTTCCTCAGGTGTGGCCCTTCAGGGCCTGAGGTCCCTTCTATGAGGATGCGTTTCGTTCCCTCTGCAGAGAGTCCTGCGTGGAGTCCCGGTTGCCTCGGCAGATCTTCCACGCCGTGTGTCTCACCTCCGGCTGTCTGAGCCCGCACGGGGGAGGAGAAGACGCATCGCTGGAGGCCAAACCCATCTACCACCAGGTCCTGGTCCTCCACAAGTGAGCCCCGCAGTCGTTGTAGAAGCAGCCCCTGGACAGCTGGTGTATTTCGCCTTTCTCCTCAGTGGCCTCACTCATCTCCCCCACTGCAGGACCTTGAGGCAAAGGGCCGGTAAGCGCAGGAGGACGAGGTACGGCTTCCGGCTGGGCACGGAGGTGATCGCGGTGGGCTGCACCTGCGTGAGGCCCAGCGTCGTCACGCACGGAACCAACCACACTGGACCCTCCTGAGTCCCTGTGACCCGACCGGCGCCGAGGAGCGTGTTGCTGCAAATACTGATTCTTGTAGAGACTTTATCATTCTTTGTGAGGGTGCGGTCTTAAAAAAAAAAAAGTCATTTATTTCTCTTATTCTGCATGTTTTTTTAACACCAACTTCATTTTATTGTTAACAATGTAAAAATGCGTTTTTAAAGTTTTTAATCCAACTTTAATGTATTTTGGGCCGTGAAGACGCATTTTAATGTGTTAACTATGGCATTTATTTATTAATTTATCAAAAACAATATTAATGTTGGGGAATTGACATGCAATGACTAATATAATAAGTCCTATTTTAACGCATAAGAGTTGAGATAAGTTAATGCATGATGTGAATATATCAGTGGCGTGTGATTAAGTCTTATTATGTTTCATGCAGAATAAAGAAACATTCCGACTTGCGTGTCCTGTGTCCTGTGTCCTGTGTCCTTCACATCGTTTTAGTTGACTCCTTTCTGACAGATGTTGCTCTCAGACTACTTTAGTTTCATGTTTACTAAAAAGAGAATTATCGTTGCCTTCATATTCTAGCATCTGCATTAATATGTCAACATAACATATTTATTTAATTACTCTTTCATTTATATTATTGGTTTAAATGACCTTTTCTTACTGTGCATGCAAACCGTTACGCCAATGAACACATGAGGAATGAGGAGGACCAGAGGTCAGTCAGGCCGTTTTTACTGACCACGGCACACAGATACAATCAACCCAGCAGCAGCGCCACGGCGAGCGCCGCCCCCCAGTTACACGTCAAACACGTCAATCAAAGTCACTACACTCAACAAGCCAAATGTCATCTCTCCGTGGGACTGCTTTTGGTTTGCACTCCGGTGGCGATCAAACACTGAATTCAGTGTATTTACAGCTGCCGTCCTGCATGTGTGCACATGTGTGCAGATGTGCTTTTGGGTTGTGCTTAACGGGAGAAGAGAAGAGTGCAAACAGTGTTCTGCATCTGAGACGCATGTTGCTGATCTACATCTACACACTACGGAGTTTTACAAAGAGACGGAGAACGCAGAATGAGGCAGAGCTTCCTCCCCTTTTCAATGAGTTTCCTGTGATATTCACATGGAACATGCTGAGATAAACTGAGATCCTGCCTGCTGCGGCGTCCCAGCAGACCCACACAACAAACCCACAAAGAGCTTAAAAAAAAATCATTTTCTTCTTTTCTTACAAGGGAAACAGCCGTATTTCCCGTTTGTGTGTATTGAACTATTGCGCTGTGTGTGTTCTGTGAATCACGGACTGCAGCAGCCGACTCGAACTGCTAAACTACATCTTTGTGTCCAGTTTGCTTGTTTTGTTTGAGCACATTTGTCATATTTGACGTGGTAAAGGTTTATATCACCACTGTACTGATGAGAGCATCCAACAGTTTATGCTTCACCTCCGGGTTTAATGCCGCTTACCTTTACACACACAATCGTTACAGCACACATCAGTTTCAAAACCTCCTGTTCCCATTAGTTCACTTGTTTTTGAGTTGCTTTTTTCTCTTTCCTGCACTGATTTCCTTCCTTTTATTTTTATTTTTTGGAGCGAGGATGAGACTCTGTGTCCTGTTCTCTCTCTCTTTTCTGCTCTTCTTTCTTCATCTACCGGCAGGCTTCCTCCTTCATCTCCTTGTTCTTCCTCACTTCCTCTGCGTGTTTGTCCTGTCGGAGAAACACAGAGACGCGGCGACGTTAGCAGTCAAAATGTATTAATGCATTAATGAGCGGGATGCCAACAGAACAAGCATGCGACTTCGTGAGGAAATGACACGGTGATTACTGGTCAGGCATGTGAACTACATCAGGATTTAGGATGCATGTAGGATGCATGTAGGATGCATTTAGGATGCATGTAGGATGCATTTAGGATGCATTTAGGGTGCATGTAGGATACATGTAGGATGCATTTAGGATGCATTTAGGATGAATGTAGGGTGCATGTAGGATGCATGTAGGATGCATTTAGAATGCATTTAGGATGCATTTAGGATGAATGTAGGGTGCATGTAGGATACATGTAGGATGCATTTAGGATGCATTTAGGATGAATGTAGGGTGCATGTAGGATGCATGTAGGATGCATTTAGGATGCATTTAGGATGAATGTAGGATGCATTTAGGATGAATGTAGGGTGCATGTAGGATGCATGTACGATGCATTTAGGATGCATTTAGGATGAATGTAGGGTGCATGTAGGATGCATGTAGGATGCATTTAGAATGCATTTAGGATGCATGTAGGATGCATTTAGGGTGCATTTAGGATGAATGTAGGGTGCATGTAGGATGCATTTAGGATGAATGTAGGGTGCATGTAGGATGCATGTAGGATGCATTTAGGATGCATGTAGGATGCATTTATGATGCATTTAGGATGAATGTAGGGTGCATGTAGGATGCATTTAGGATGAATGTAGGGTGCATGTAGGATGCATTTAGAATGAATGTAGGATGCATGTAGGATGCATGTAGGATGAATTTAGGATGGCACTCGATAACAATTTTAGATCTCAATAAAACAGTAAAAGGAACATTAAAAATGTGATTTTTATTAACGAGCTGCTGCTGGGTGGATTGTTTTATCGTTGAATTGTTTTGCCCTGTTCTCAATCCTAATGCTAAGCTAGGTTAGCTGGCTCACGGTGCACACACGTGTCACTGATACCAAGACACGTAAACAAAATAAGAAGACATGTATAGAATAGTGCCACATTTTAGGAAATGAACTTAACAAAGCTGATGAGAAGATTACAACGGGACTTCCTGCAGCTGTGAGACAATTACTAAAAAGTGGAGGGACGGGGGACACAAGTAGCCCGGCTGTCTCTCAACGTAAAAAGAAGCCTGGACTCTACACTTTGTGACTAACACATTGTATTTTGTCTGTTTAATCCGGGCAGAAAGAGAAATGTAAAACATGGTAATGTACGGTTTCCATGCTAAGCTAAGCTAATCGTCTCTAGCGCCGTGCAGAGAAAATGGCGCATCACCAATACTGTTTTTGGTGTGTTAGATGGTCTTTTTCATAGTGGGGGAAGGTCTCTCATGGTCGTACCTTCTCCTGCAGCCTCTCCAGCATGGCGGCCAGCAGGGCCTCTCGGTTCTCCTTGTTGGCCTCCATCTTTTGCTCAAGCTTCTCTTTGGCATTCTTGATGAAATTGTTGTTCTCTTCGAAGGCCTTCTGGATCACCTCGCGCTGGTGCTCCCTCTTCTCCGCCAGGTGCTTCAGCAGCTCCGCCTCCTGACACTGGAAACGCACACCACCAAAGGTGAGGCATCGGGGGTATTTACCAAATGGTCTCCCTGTTGGGACCCATCACACTACGTGCCAGGGAAAATGGTGAAAGCTCTAGTGTGAAGGAACCAAACCTATTGAGACATCTTCACCTCTCATAGTAAGAACCAAACATCTCTGGGGCCTTCAAGGCACTTAAATCAGTACTAAAGGAGACATCTGATGCTGCAGGTGTCGCGTGAGCGCTTTGTTGCAGGACACATTATCTGTGACACCTATCATCCCTCTCATTGAACTTTCTTCTCTCCCTTCCTCCCCCTCTCTCCACCAACCTCTCAGCTGGATGGATATGAGCCTCTGGGGGTGCGTGCTTTCATAATTGCCCGTATGCTTTCATGTCCTTTGTTTTCCCTCTGCTTGCTCCATCCAGCCCAACACTCCCTCCCTCTCTCCTTTTATCCTTTTCCTCCTCCTGATCATCCAGCTGCCCACGCAGAGTGTTGTCAGATGTTCGCCAATGTCCTGAACAAGCAGCATCAGGGTTTACTCGCTTAAGGGGCCGTCAGGTTGGGTTTGTCGTGGGTACGAAACGCCCCCCAAACCCACCCCTCCCGCTCTCCCCTCACCTTTCGCCTCTCCTCGGCCGCCTCCAGTTTCTTCTGGATCTCCTCCAGGGACGGGTCGCGGCGCTGGGGCATGGAGCCATTCAGCTCTGGCACCCCGTCAAAGGACGGGGGCTTGAGGATGACCTCGAAGGCCTGGCCAGACGTCCGCTTGTTCAGCTCAATTACCTCCACGTCTTTGATGACGCACCAGCCCAGGTCCACCGCATCTGTGGGGTTGGAAAGTGGAAATGTTTGCAACCTTATAATAATTACATTTCCCAGAATAACATATGCTGGTTGCTGAAAAGGGTTATTGTTACCTTCTGCCTTGTATGTGGGTTTGTCTGCACGTTGTGGGTTGAAGCAGGCACAGAACAGAGACACCAGGGGGAGCTCCTTGACCTTCTCTTTGTAGGCTGAGGACACACACAGTAAAGTTTTCATCACATTAGTGTGACCATAATAACCACGACCAGCCTAAGCCTAAATATATATATACATAACTTTATATCTAACTTTAATATTAGTCCTTAACCTAAACATGAGTGAACCTCGACCCTGATTTATGTCATGGCGCTGTGCATTTTGTCCCCTGAAGGAAGGTGAGTCCCCACAATGGTTTAAACAGATTTATGTCCCTGCAACGTGAGTAACACTCACACACACCGAAAGCGCTTTGTGATGTTTGACATTGTGTTGACTCTCTCTGAAGGTGACCACTCGGCCTTATCGACCGTCACAACATGGCTGGGATGATGAGCGAGCTCTCTCATCAGCGCCAGTCCCTCTGTGGAACGGGCAGCTTCTGCAGGCGGGTGAAGGGAGCTGCAACGGTGCGTAACTTTCTGCTATGGCTGCATTTACCTGCCAGAGTCATCTTCTCACTGCGTATGTGTCACTCCCCAGGGATGCTGAAGATCCTTCTCAGGCTGTCAGAGAGAGAGAGAGAGAGGGCTGAATGCACATTCAAAGGTCATATAATAAATGTGGGAAGCGTGGCTGCAGGACGGCACGCTGCAGTCTACGCAGCTCCCATTCGGGTTTCACTTCAGCAATAAGAGAAGAAGTGATGAGGGCCAAACACAGGTACCCTGTAATGTACCCTGAACAGTATCTGTGATACTTTGTCCTCCTGCTACCCTTCGTCTTCTCTTACAGACTACCATCCAAACCAGTCTTCATCCTATTGAGACGTGATGCACTACTCGAATAAAATAGATGCGTATATTTATTTTATGTGTTATTTCTTTGCACTATCTAGGATTTAAGAATATTTTGATTTGATAATAAAGATTTATTAGTAGCTTAAATAAAGTTATAGCATGCTAACTTAGTTCATGTTAGTGGTCCAGCTGTGGGTCCCGTGGCTGGTTTAAAGGTAACAAACTGGTTTAAAGGTTACAAACTGGTTTAAAGGTAACAAACTGGTTTAAAGGTTACAAACTGTAGCAATCGATCACTACGTGCATGTCGGTCCCACAGCTTCCAGACTGCATGCCGGGTTGTGAAAACAGCACAGAAAGGCTAATTACATGTTGCATGTTGCTACGCTACCTGGAATTGGTTACCTGCAGTGTTGCAACACCACAAGGTTTTGAACCATAGCCGGAAGTTAGCCGCGAGTTCCCCATGCTTCCAGTCCGCAGGCTAAGCTAGCCAACCCGCCTAGCCAGGAGACGTGTTTCCATGAGTACATGCCACCTCCAGACACAAGGCCAATACCTTCATTTATAAAGATGTCGCACCAAAGACCTGACCCACTGATAAACAGATGCTGACTAGTCGTAACAACGTTAGCACTTCATGCTACCAGCTGTGAAAGGCCTGAGGAGCAGCGAACCAATGAGAACACGGATGACAAACAAAGGGAGCCGCCCTGACATGCACGGACACACACATGTGGCAGCGACACAGGTGACACACGTAGGTGTACTCATGCTTCAAGGTGCCACCATACTAACTGGTATTGGTCCCGTACTGATCGGGCCGTACTGCTGTACACTGTTGGAATACACATGCACGGTGCACACAGCTGCTCCTCATCTCGCCCACACTGCAGATCAATGCTGCATGCTGTGTGTCAATAGAGAGACTGTTGTGGCTAATGATGTGCTGTACCTGCTATCGGATTTGTCTCCCTTTCAATGTTAAATCTAAAGCAAGCGTTCAACCTTTTTGAAAATATGCTTATTCTTGTTGAGAAGTAGATGCTGAATATTAAGCTATTTCCAGCAGTTAGTTAGCTTAGCACAAAGAGCTAGCCAAGCCTTCTCTAGTCTAGATGAACCCGGGGTTCATTGCTGACCGGGTTTCAGCATACGATGCAATACTGATATACTTTCATGCATTCCTGCATGAATCCTGAACACACCCATGTGATTATGTCTAATGCAGCTGCTATGACAGACAGCAACTTCAAACCACACCTCCCATACCGCGCACGCTGGACGGGAATGTCACCAACAGGTAAACGCAGTCTGTAACCGCCGTCTGGATCTGACACCTCAACGGGTCCGTTTGATTAGACACGTTTCAGTGAGATTGATTCAGCAAACGGTCGCCTTGCTGCAGTGTCTCTTCTTACCGGATACCTTCACATGAGACGGAGCATAAAATACACTTTCAAAATGTACCATATCGATTAAAAGAAGAAAGGGAACTAGTAGCAATGGGAGATAGAATTTGTTGTATATTATCACCATAAAGACTAAAACACTTTTCCTTCTTGATTTCACACAAAGCTGCCTGGTGGATGAATAATAAATGACACAGGCTACAAAGCGTGCGGTTTACGGGTACATCGAGTTCCCTTTTCCCCCTCATGTCAGGATCATCACTATCTTCACCCCTCACCCCCTTCTCCCCCATACCAACACACACACACACACACCAACAACCTTCAGCTTTACATTCCGACACAGGAGTCCATGTAGTAGAATGCAGATGTGTGCTGCTGTGTGTCTAGAGATGCCGACTCACCCCCTCCGTCTCCTTCGCTGCTGCTGATGGACCGGTGACTACGGTTTCCCCCGTCTGGCTGCACGGATACAGGCGCCGGGCAACAGCATCAGCATCAACGCTGCCTCCATGACATCACCTTGGAGTCTTCTCATTGGTGCGAGGCTCAGCCAGCATCTGAGCCTCTCGCCCAATGAGAGCGCGGAGGGAGGATCGGGGGAGGGTCGGGATCTCTTTGTGTTGCAGGGTGGGCGGTGGGACCGCGGCCTTTTACATGGCGCAGCAGTGTGTGCGTGAATATTATGCAGGTTGCAGAGTTGGGTGAAGTAGGGGGAGACTGGTATTGTGTGTGGGGGTGCGTCTCAGCAGGGGGTAGCCTGAGAGCATGCAGGACACTACATTATTTAGAACCAAGCAGTATGAACAAGAACACGTAGAGATGCTTCTGCAGTTCTTCATTTGAATCATGTGTTAGAATTCTGTGCAGACCACAAATACGCTACGATTACTGTATCTGAACACTGTGTTATAACACTACTATCATTCCCACTACTGCATTATAACACTATTATCATTCCCACTACTTCATTATAACACTACTATCATTCCCACTACTGGATTATAACACTACTATCATTCCCACTACTGTGTTATAACACTACTATCATTCCCACTACTGTGTTATAACACTACTATCATTCCCACTACTGTGTTATAACACTACTATCATTCCCACTACTGTGTTATAACACTACTATCATTCCCACTACTGTGTTATAACACTACTATCATTCCCACTACTGTGTTATAACACTACTATCATTCCCACTACTGTATTATAACACTACTATCATTCCCACTACTGTGTTATAACACTACTATCATTCCCACTACTGTATTATAACACTACTATCATTCACACTACTGTGTTATAACACTACTATCATTCCCACTACTGTATTATAACACTACTATCATTCCCACTACTGTGTTATAACACTACTATCATTCCCACTACTGTGTTATAACACTACTATCATTCCCACTACTGTATTATAACACTACTATCATTCCCACTACTGTGTTATAACACTACTATCATTCCCACTACTGCATTATAAAACTACTATCATTCACACTACTGTATTATAACACTACTATCATTCACACTACTGTGTTATAAATGCAGCTGTTGTGTCATCGTTCTCGCTGGATATTAAGTTGCATATATTAATCAACCAAGTTCAGTTTCTGATTCCATCCTTCTTTCATTAAATAAATGATGTCCCTGATTATAGCTAACATATATATATATATAACAGATCACTTTAATATGTTGTATTATATTGTTATGAACATTGATTAAAGCATTGAATTAAAGCAGTGTACACGTCACGCCATTTATTGAACTGGTTAATGCTTCCCATCGGCCACCACAGGGCCTCGGGGGGGTCGTTAGTGTTCGGGACCCTGATCCCACATGCTTTGGGTCAATTCGCTCCCCTCCCTGGAAGACCATCACTATCAATAATGCAATGCAAAATGAATTAACAATACATGATCATTTTATCTATTTAACTTGAAGATATCAATGTAACAAAGGAAACTGTCCGGAGCGCCGAAGAAGAACCCTGAGGAGAAGCAGCAGAACTTCTCTGTTGTTTGATCCTTCATCATTCAGCTCACACAACTAGCATGATGTCACCACGCCGTCCACAGCCACTCACCAGGGTGTGTCCTCCTCACACATCCTTCCTCCCCCCCTCTCTCCTCACACATCCTTCCTCCCCCCCTCTCTCGTCACACATCCTTCCTCCCCCCCTCTCTCTTCACACACCCTTCCTCCCCCCCTCTCTCCTCACACATCCTTCCTCCCCCCCTCTCTCCTCACACATCCTTCCTCCCCCCCTCTCTCCTCACACATCCTTCCTCCCCCCCTCTCTCCTCACACATCCTTCCTCCCCCCCTCTCTCCTCACACACCCTTCCTCCCCCCCTCTCTCCTCACACATCCTTCCTCCCCCCCTCTCTCCTCACACATCCTTCCTCCCCCCCTCTCTCCTCACACATCCTTCCTCCCCTCCTCTCTCCTCACACATCCTTCCTCCCCCCCTCTCTCCTCACACATCCTTCCTCCCCTCCTCTCTCCTCAGCCACCTCCACCGACGGTAAACGCGTGTGTCACACAGACATCAGACACATCCTGGAAATGAGATCACCAGCAAGCGAGAGAGATGGAAGAAACAAGAATGAGTGGGAGGAGGAGGGAAAGGAACGGGGAGGAAATAAGATTGAACAAAGATGGTCAGAGATAAAAAAAGTATCTCGGTCCGCCGAGTGAAAGAGGGCGAGCGTTCTAGGAGCACCCATGGGAGACGTTTGGGACGAGGTTGTTCAAATGAAATGCTCTGTGGATGGAAGATGAAGAATCGCTGGTTTTACAGGATGCGAACGCAGCTGAATAGATGAAAGATGAAGAAATCCGTTCCCCTAAATCTCTGCTGGTGAACACAAACACGCTCCTCCGCATCACGAGCCCTCGTGGCCTGTAACAACGAGGGCCTCGTTCTGCAGTCTGACATCATCTGCCAGGATGAGCTCATCCTGTAACTCACAGCATTACCCACTCTACCCAAAGCGCGAGTGTGCACAGCGGATGTGACTCTTGTCCTCAATAAGCGAACCACTGAGAGCTCATTTGTTTAATGATATAATCCCAAACAGAGGGATCCAATTGAAGTTGAAGGGCTTTTACAGCCGGTGATCTGCCATCAAGTGGAAACAAATCTAGTCCACCACTTCTAAAGACAATGTAGCACGATTCCCTTTCCCCCAATCTGTAGATAGCTCGGCCCTGACAGCCGAGCTGCAAACATCCTCCTATAAACAACTCCAAACCAAAGAGGATAAACAATGGAAAGATCTTAGCTATAAAGATGTCTTGACCTCCTTTACTGTGCAGACATCAGCTCCTGCACGCTACATTCGTCAAAGGACTTCCTGTCTGGAACAGTCTGTTACCATGGCAACAAGGCACTGACAGTGAGAGAGAAGTTGCTGAATGCCAGGAAAAGTGTGATGGTCTGGATGCGTTGTGTGCATTGCGTGGGTGATAAGACATTTTTAGGGGTTACGGATACTTGGTTTACAGCTCATGTGTAGATGACGCACCATCGTTTCAATGGTCTAATTGGTGCACATCCAAGCGTTGCTCCACCTGGGTTGGTCATCGTGCCTTCTGGCCACGCCCATTTTAGGACCTTCCTTCTTGTCTCCATCCGGTGACCAGACCATCAATATATTCAATGATTACTTTTACCTGAGCTTCTTAATCTACACATTATATTATGTACTATACATATGATCTAATATGTAATATACTTGGATCCTATCATATCTTTCATCATCCTATTTCATAACACATCAAACATTATATTTATATACTTATTTTATATTGTCCAAAACTACACCGGGCTTTCCTATCTGAACACTGACGATATCCTTTGTTCTCAAACTTGAACTAGACACAGAAAAAAACTCCCTCAAAAAGCCTAAACCATAAAATAAGAAAGACATCTATTAGAGAAGGAATAGACAGAAATCTCCTCCCAGGCTGAACATTGACTAAGCACTAAATGACTTCATTCACAATACAGAAATGAACATACTACCTAATAGTAAGAAGAATATGCTTCCTTCGGGCGATGCTATCATAGCTTCCCCTGAACTGCAGACAATACGACAATGTGACTGTCGATCAAGCGAGACGAGACCGGCCAGCTTGTTAGAGCTTCTTAGACTTCAAGGATGTCAAAACTTGGAGGACCAGCAACTTTCCGACCTGCTGTCCTCTGCTCCGAAGACGGCACAGCCATGATAAAAAGTTGAATAACTCTTTATAAATAATTGTATTCTGTGGGTGTAGAACTCGTGTCCTAATGTGTTAAGGTGTGCATGTCAGTGGTGAAGGGTTCGGCTAAGTCGACCCGGAGGTTTGTGGGTCTCTTGCCTGATGTTGGGTGGGATTAACTCTAGCCCCCCTTGTATGAGTGGCTTTGAAGATGACTGACTACACACATACGTCACCATCTCAAGTAAATACAAGGGGGAGGTGCAGGTGATTGGACACAGGTGGAAACAATCTGGGTCACGGCAGCCAATCACAGGGGAAGACAGGACAAGGCAGGAAGTGAAGTAAGGCAGGGACACAAGAGGCAGAAAACTACAAAATAAAACAGGAAACAAACCCAAACCGTGACAGCTGGGAACGTCTAAAGGTGAAAGCTGAAAGACACTAAAACCTTTCATGGAGGAACCACATAGTTGTTTCATTGTCGTGTTGCTTTGTCACAACACTAAAGTCACTAAAGTCACTTAGTCACTAAAGAATCTTATTTACACACATGCACGTTTTGAAGTACTCATCCTTTCATTTCTTTATATCGTTCATTTTCGCTGGTATATTTAATTTCACTTTATTCTTATATCGCACCAATCACCAGGACAAAGGACTGTTTGTGTAACATACTTGGGAATAAATAGCTTCTGATACTGAGTGTTTCTGGGTTTTTTAAAGAAGCAGCAATGAAAAGGCTCAGAAGGAGACGCCTCCCTACTGAGGCTACAACAACTATCTTTGTTCCTCTTTCTGCTGCCAAGAAGCAATTAACCGGGACGAGGGACCTCCGCACAGCAGGGGGGAGACACAAAGACAGAAAAAGACAGACTTGTTAAAAGGCAAAGAAAGAGCTGCAGATAAAGAAAACAACAGGGGACGGACAGACAAACACACTGAACCGACCCGTCGACCTTGTTCCTCCCCACCTGTTAATCAAACAACGTCCCCCTACTGTAGCACATAAACGCCTGGTCCTCGATTAGAAACACATCCAGGTGGGGACCCGCTGAACAAACACAAAGTGGGGTCGCTCTGGGCTGACCTTTGACCCCTCTTGCAAATAGCTCTACATTTTCTCCGGGGATGCACACGGTGTTTCCTTCTTGGGGCTGAGCATGTGTTCTCGGGCCGGCCGTCATAGCTCATTTGACATAACGGCGCTCCATTTAGGGCTACTGACCTCTTGCTCAGTGGCTGAGGGCCGAGGGGCCGAGGGGCCGAGGGGGGGTGTTGAACCTCAGCTGGGGACAGCGCAAACGCCAACAGGCAACTGAGCCAGTGCTGCAGGGCTGATGTGTGTCGCTAACAAACGGGATGTAAAAGTTGATTGATGCCAGTCACCGTGGTCTCTACACCTGATTGGTCACAAACCCCGTCTGTGGATTGGCTGGAGTGATGCGTTCACACAACTATAGAAGCCCATTTCCGCACTGAAGAAAGGGGATAGAAAGTCGGAATTATGATACGTTATAAAACGTTGTCAAAACACGAACGACTCCTCTCTGTAACCATACGGTATGACTGTTTATTTATATGAATATATGGCAAAGCCGCACAAATCCTGATTTGTAGATTGTAGATTGACACCAATGGTTAGTAAGACTACGATGGGTCAGAGAGTTCTCCTCAGATCTGCAGTTCCCTTAACCATAAGGAGCTTTATAACATCTCTTTTACTGGTGATTCTGTTTTAATTTGCATCCGGGACCATTGCAAAAACGCCAGCTAGGTGGAAACTAGCATATGAAGCATTTGCACAGCCGGAGCCACATAATCCCCCATATTGCATCCAGCTGAAGACCCGTCAGCATGTGAGCATTGTGGAGAACTACGGTGGCCTTCAGGGGGGTTTCCAAACAGGGTCAGGGTTTGGTGTGTCGCTGAGTGAGTGGGACCTGCTCAGAAGGGCTCTCTTGGTGATTATCCAGTAATTACAATACAGTTATCTGAACTATATTCCATTGCTGCCAATACGCTAAATACTACACAGTGTTTAATCAAACCAAACACAGCAGATCAGAACCTGACTGCTGTGTTTTACCTTGAAATGTAGATTCATTGTGTGACTGTGCTTGTGTGTAATACATGGACACAGATAAAGACAATTTAAAAAGTCAAAATAAGTTACAAATATTGCAGAGGAATGAGAACGTGAGTGTAAAACACCCAAAATGAACGAAGCAATACCCTAGTGTCTATTTCTACCCTCTCCTTGTTCTCCAGTCTGTGCTAAATATGTTCCAGGGTCTTTGAATTATCACGTTAACCTCTGACATGTCTCCTCTGAGTCACTCAGGGATCTGGACATCGTCTTTAGAAGTTAACCAATTCTGTAAAAATGTGTTCTTGGTTTTGTCTGCCGCGCGTGGACTGAACTTCCGTTCATTTCGTGGTTTGAGTCAATTGTGCTTCTTTAGCTCTCGGCTAAACAGTCGGTGTCAACCGGCAACGCAGGGCACAAAAACACATTCAGGACGTTTGTCCAAGTCCAACCTGATTTTAAATCAGATAAATCTGGCTTCACGCCTTCAGGGTAGAACAACACACAGATGCTTCATAGTATCAAAGAAAACAACTGCTGCTTTATGAATTCAAACATGGATTTGTTTGGTCTTGAGACAATAAGAAAATAAGGTTCCTTTGGGGCAGTAATGATCTTGTATGAAGACAGGAAGAAAACAATTAACCACGTCACTAATAGCAGAAAGCCTCTTGGGATCATAAGTCGCCCTGATTGACAGGAATTTGGTGAAGAGGTCAGCGGAGACCCTCCTGCATTAGTTCAGCGCCCTTATGGGGCTCAACACAGATGTGTTCCTGTGGAAACGTGAATTCCTGACACTTTGATCCGGGGGCCCGTCACCTGACCAGCTCCTTCTGGTAAACCAAGGCCAGACTCGTGCCACGCCTTTGATCGCCTTGAAAGATGCTTCCCATCCATCACCGCCCTGAAGGGGCGATCTGATCATCTGACGCATTCCTCCCGTGTTCCATCACAGTGTTTTATGGATGTTCCTTCAACACAAAAGCACCGTGTTACAAGCAAGTATCCGCTTTGGAAAAGAGCTTTCAGGCTAAGCCAGATTTGTTCTGCATCCTGGAACAAAAGTCTCACTGAAAACCGCACTAATCTGTGCTTTTAAGTTCAGTGTGAACGGGGACAAGCGACAACCTCAAGGGAATTATCTCTCCCATTGTTTCCTTGTGGTTTTGTCCGTTATATTGTCCCAATCCCTGAATAAAAAGTAAGATATATCTATCTATACCTAGTAAACATACAGTAGTGGAGGATGGAGCTGCTGTATTTCCCTCGGCAGCTGGTGGGGACTAAAACAGAGCTAAAAGAGTGAATAGTGGACTATTAATGAGAGAGTTACATGGCACCAAATCACTGTGTATGTGGCATTACATCTGTTTGCTAACATACTATAGCTATATGCCATATTTGTTTCAATCCACCAATTTTTTATTTATACACAAATGTCAGTTGAAAATAAAATTATATTTTGTTTCATTTATTGATTTAACTTCATGCTTGGATTTATTTACCAATATGGTTGTTACTAACCCAGTTTGTGTGTATTGATGAATGTTTTGCCTTTATTAGATGTTTTTGGTTGTTTCTTGATTTCGTTGGGCATTTTATGTGTAGAATTCGATGCTTTTATTTTGAAGGCGGGGCTTTTCATTTTTCCCAAGCCAGTGGGGGCACTTGAAGCCTCGTGCTCTGCCACAATAGTGGGCTCAAAGGAGTCCATTACAGAGACACCTGTAAATGCATAAATTGATAGGAAATAATTTGGGCGTTTACTAAATTAACTTATATTAGTTAAACAGTGGGGAAAATAAGTATTTCAAGTTTGGTCACTTTGATCACAAAGAAATGTGTGATCTATAATTATAATGGTAGGTGTATTTTAACAGTGAGAAACAGGATATCAACAAAAAAATCCAGAAATATGCATTTTATAACATTTCTGACTTTATTTGCATTTGATGCAGAAAATAAGTATTTGAACCCCCAAGCAAACAGCAATAGTTCTGGCTGACGCTGACCAGGCAAAAGCTGTTACGTTGTTTGTAGGATTATAATGAAAACATTGTACAACCAAGCAGTAAAGCGTCAGACCAAAAACAGGACCAAGCACATGTAATTGGGAGAGGATGCCGCCATTTTTCCAAATTCAAAACATTTTTTATATTTTGCACACGAATGACTCGGAGGTTGTGCGCCACTGATTTAGAGCACCTCTAAAAAGTATGACCTGACGTGGGGGTTTTGAGTGAAAGCTCTGCAGTGTCGCATCCTTAGAGGTCCCTGCTGGTGTTCCTCCCAGTGGGGCAGTTAACATCAGGAAGGGTGGAAGCATTCCTTCATCCAGGGCCTCCTGCGTCCTCCTCTCTCATCTGGCTCTAAATCACAGCAGCAGGGCCTGCAGGGGGCAGACGGGGACATGAAATACTGCATGGAAGGCCGTGACGTGCTGCGCTGTGCAGGACGGCTCTCAGGAACTCCTCCAGGGTTGTGGCCTTTAAAGAAACACTGTATTATTGTTTTTAATTTGAACGTAGACCTCTTGATCCTCATTAGCAGCCACATACAAGCATTAAAAAGAACGTCCCCACGGAATGCTTCTGATAGGCCTCCCATCTGCTCTGCCGCACAGCACAAGAAAACAAGCTTCTGAACGGGGGGCTTCTGGTTTGAATCACCTTCAAAAACACCGGCTGCTTCTTCTCCAGGACTTCTCCAGGACTTCTCCAGGCTCATATCTGCCCCGCCGCTTTGTCTTCACCGGCGGGTAATGGTTTCATCCCTCGCTGCCTCCTCAGCGCCGATAGACGTATTAATGTGATGTTGGCGATGTGTGGGTCGAAGTTTTCAATAAACCCCCAAGAGACACAGCACGTAGCATCTCCTGGGTGTGTTGGGGCCCCTGGATGGGGCCATGTGGCACGGGGAGCAGCTAAAGCCAGCGCTTCTCTAGAGACCCCAAAAGGAGAATTGTTGAGTTTCTTTTTACTGCTTTCATGATTTCTAAATTCGTAACATGTACTGGCTCGCAATTCCCTCCAGCGCCCTGATTTCTTTCCCCACGTCGTCCCTGAGCTCATTCAAAGGTTGCAGAGGATCGGATCAGAAGCTGCTTGTGCATCGTCTGATTTATTTGTTTCATCATTACTCATAATTGCTCCTATAAAACAGGAATATTCCCGAGCATAAAATTCACCTCTGCTCATTTTAGTGTCCTCGTGCTACATTCTACAATACGGCAAATGAAAAGCTACATCAGGAGGAATCAAATATCTGTACCAGTACTCGGCTACTCAAAGGGTTGAATGACCGAACTGCAGCACAGGGAGGCCTGGTGGCTGTGTGTGTGTGTGTGTGTGTGTGTGTGTGTGTGTGTGTGTTAGACGCCTGTCAGGTCTGTTACCTCAGGTCTGCAGAAGCCATGTTGTGTGTGTGTGTGGTAGATGAACTTCTGTCTCCTTCCCTTTAGTCTCAGGGCTGAACGTACATGACGGTGATCTCTGCATCTCTGCGCGGCAGGAAACCTCTGCTAGTCTTCAGCTCTGTGGACAGCAGCAGGACCTGCAGCACCCTGGTTAACGTGAGCACACCTTCAAGTGGGATGTATTATTCATTGGCTGATAGTTGTGGTTACAGCTCGTCACAACCTATTCATGCATTTAGCACACTACAGATAGCCGATGGGAGTTCTACGAACTGACTTCCGTCCCTGATGGTAAAATGAGTGTGAGGACGCTTTGGGTCGGCTCGCTTCAGCTTGCTAATCTGCTACTGGGCCTCTGCAACCATAACACGTCCTGCCATTGACACTCTGAGTTCTTATCTGCTCAAACTGTGAGCTGTGCATCACGCACACGCGTGATCAGTTCATCTTCAGTGATTAACCAATCAAACCAAGGAGATTCCCAAATGTTCCCAAATGAGGCAGAGGTGGTAAAGTACTCGCTCTCACACACACGCTGCTGCTACTGAAATTAGAAAGAAGAAGAAGGTAATGTCAAAGGAATGTTGAACCATAACAGCAGCCCCTTGGAGGGAGGCGCTCGCTCACTGTGTGTGTTTCCCACCATCCAGTCAAGCATAAAGATAATACCCACCACCCTGGACAAATGAAGGCATGGAAGTTAAAGGGGGCAACAGGAACCACTGAACCCTTTTTATTCCGTCAGACGCAAACATCCGAAGCACACCCAGTGGATCGGAGCTGTCTCAGCTTGGCAGGAGAACCCGGGCCGATGAGCAGAGGAGTGACAGGAGATCTCGTCCCCGGATGAAGGAGCCTTTCTCTGGTCGCCAACACTTAGCAAAGGAACATTGTCTTATTCTGTGTGCCTGGTCACTCCAGCGTTTCAAGCCAGTGATGCCATTCGTGGCAAAACCAGGCCCGACTCCATAGTTCCATGATGCACGACACCCTTTCTCCCCTCACAGCACACGTCAGCTCTTTACTCAACTTAGCTCTGCTACTGGAAAAACAATTACGAGAGTAAGACTCGTCTCACAACGTTTTTTAGCGGTCAGCTCGGGAGCAGAAAGGGTTTGTTTGCATTAGAGACCCGATTCCTGTCAGATGTTAGATGTGTGGCATCCAAACTCCTTTATTTAAATAAGTCAAACCTTCTTAACACTCTCCCCAGTATGAGCACCACTCCACTCAGCGGGATCTACAGGACCGTAGTAGCAGTTACACCTCTACTTCCCTCCACGATTAAAAGCGGTTGAGGCCAAAACACTGCCGCGTTGTCCCCGAACACTGCACCCTTCAGAGCCCGGAGCTGCAGCGCCGGCTAGGTGTGTCGAGGGTACTATTCATTCAGCGCTATTCCTGTTTTTCCTTTCCATGGAACATCAGCTCTGCCTTTCCCCGTCCTGCTGGCCGTCTTTCTGTCTGTACGCCGTCACAGCAGTGGGCGTCGAGCACGGCGGACCGATGCATGAATGCCGGGCTTTGTGCGCTGGCATGTGTGGGCTGCGATCCCCCTCCAGTCCTACCGTTCAGGGGGAGGCGTGAGCGGGGGGGGGGGGGGAAACGCTGCTGTATGAAAACCCTTCTTTCCAAACACTTCCAGACTGGTGCTCGTGATTTTGCATGAAAGTGGAGGGAGGAGCTGAGGAACGTTGGGGCTTGAAGCGGAACATAAGTTGTTTCAATTGGAGGTTCGAGCAGCGGCTTCTGTTTCACTCGAGGCCTCGTTCCTCTCGTTCCTCTCGCTCCTCTCGTTCCTCTCGCTCCTCTCGCTCCTCTTGCTCCTCTCGCTCCTCTTGCATCAGGGGAGCAGAGATCAACTTTGCTCCCAATCGTCAGCGTGTATATTCAGCTGGCAGCGTCGGTTTCGGCTGCACAGACGCTGCCGGGCCGGTTTCATCGAGGGCCACATCGATACACGGCGGTGGGGACAAAGAGAGCCCTTCACAAAACACTCCAAGTCAAACAGAAGCACTTGTGTTGGCTTTGGATGGAGTTTCACCGTCACACGGCCACCTCCTTCTGAACCTGCTGCTGAAGGCCACGGGGGCCACGGGGCCACGGGGGCCACGGGGGCCACGGGGCTGCTTTATAAGATGGTTTACTCCTTCAAACATGCACAAACTGAAACCCCCCTCTTGCTCTTTCTTTAACAAACAAACACGCACACAAAGCAAAGCGTTCTTCGCTGTTGCTTTTGTAACGCTTGTTTAGAGGCCGAGCTGCTTGCTGGCACACGAGGGACTCGGTTCAGCCGTAAATGAACTCAGGCATGAGTTTCGGCCCCAGAAGACCCTAAATTCTCAAGGCTGGACACCTTCTATGGAAGCGATCTCTTCAGTGTCACCTTTTGACATTTTCAAATGGGATTATGCAGGATTGCTTCACTGACACAGGGACTTTCTCACATCCTGTGTAAATATTCTTGAATATCTTTCTCCGTTTTTATTTTATTTTGTCTCTTTTGGCTATTGGGTCCATAAGACGTATCAATACTGGTGTTTTTCTGTACGGGTCACTGTTGTTGCTGCTGGAAACACAAGACTTCCTGTGGGGATTTTCTTCCTCAGAAAGACCTACTTAACACCAGACAGCGCAAATGTTTTCATGAACTGAATACAGACGGATGCACAGCTGGGCTACATCAGCTGGCAATAGAGAGCAGGATTTATTAAAGTATAATACTATTTTCACGTACAGCAAACAGGCCTGATCTCCTTCTCTGGCTTACAGTGTATTACGAATGACACGTAATTGCAAACTATGCAATACTATAACAGTACCAGGCAAAATGTTTGGATACTCCTCCTCATTCTTCTTTATTTTAATTTAAAATGTATTTTAATCTACACTGTAGATTAATATTAAACATCAAAACTATGAAGGAACACATGTGGAATTATGTGGACTAACCACCTGTATTTTACATTACATTGGGAAACGTAACGTTCCAACAGCCTGTGACTTTGCCAAAATGTAGCAATTACTTAGTTCTGACCAATTTAGTTCCTGCTGAACAACATAAGCTGAGCACAGATACTGCAGACTACTTACTTCCACGACCTTTTATTCCTGAGGGAGAGCAACAAAAACGACACAGCACTCACTTCAAGACGCATGCGATGCCAAACAGTATCCAGCACGCAGAAGGCTTCGAAAAGGAAAAAGTCTGCAAATCGCTGGTTTATATTCATGTATTTCGACCCTGCGTGTAACTTCTGGTTTAGTTTCAGCGTTAAGATTTACAGATGGTACCGGACCAGCGGACTCCTTCCCTTTCTGTCTGCCTGGTTCTGCAGAACCTCTTTGTCTGGTCGCGGCTGGCAGGTAGCGTGAGAAAATGACTTTTACAGCTCACAAACAGCAACCCGAATATAAAGAAAACTTGTTACGGTTATTTCACTGAATACAAAAGCGTTGCTGCTGAAGTTAAGCAGCGGTTTTTACTTTTACTGGAAGTCTGCCGTATTTACAGAACTCCAGCTTAGTGCTTTATTGTGTACATTTATATATATATATATATATATATATATATATATATATATATATATATATATATATATATATATATATATATATATATATATATATACATATGTACAGTACCAGTCAAATGTTTGGGACACATTTCTATGTTAATTGAATGAGAAAATGAGTCCACATTTTGGGATATGGAATATATCTATCTATATATATATATATATATATATATATATATATATATATTTATATGTGTGTGTGGTGCGTAATTCGTTCTACCTCACATCCCCATAAACATCCTGCTGCGACTCCCTGGTGGTTTGTTGGTTAGTTTATGAGCTCAGTATCTTCAAACAAAGCCCACACAGGAGGTCGGTTTTCATCAAGTATGCAAAAGGCATCGCATCATTCGCACGGAGCGCCGTCACTGGCAGCAATTACGTAGCTCGCAAAGGGCCGTAAATATAATAAAACCACATTAGCCATTCCCAAAAATGCAACAAAAAAGCAACCATAGTGTTTTCTTTTTCGAATATGATGCATTCTTGTTATACAGAGGGGAGAGGACATTGGTCGCTGCGACGCTGCATCTATTTCCCAGCATGATTTCTCCGAATATCCCGTCTCTCTTGCGTAACGGCAATATGAGAGAACTATGTGGTCTGTGCAGCGACGTGCTGCACGTTGACGGGGTTCCTTCGAATGACCAAACATTGAACAACACGGTTTACTAAAAAAGCTTCTTAAACCAAACCAGTCTGAGAAATATGACACCAATAAGTCCACAAACACTGGGTTCCTTAGACAAACATCCGGGATGATAAGGGGGGGTAATGACTCCAGCTCCATCTGTGCAGAAGAAAGCGCAGAGACCAGGTCGGCGTATTTATTTCTACACGTGGTGGTGACGAGACATCATCTTGAGGAAACAAACGCGGTTTGGAGGAAGTTGAACTAAAAAATGTCTTCCTCCTTTAATTAGGGATAGGATTTAAAAACCTGAATTGGAAAAGTTTAGGCAGTAAGCAATGTGACAGTGGTGGCGGACCCATCAAACCAAGCCGGACTCTTCAGGCCTTCTTACAATCATTTGGGTCTCCAGCAGTGAGATCGCGCTGAAAGCTTAAAACACAAACGGCCGTAGACTTAGTGTTGTGGTTTTACAGCTTACTCCTTCATTTTATAGCCTCTCTGAGGGGTTTTCCAACCACAGCGGCCAGCTGGGAATAAATGAGTTCTGCTCATCACCAAACAGCGGCTAGCGGCTAGCGGCTAGCTAACGGACACACATATTACTAATAAGCATGCGTCCCAGCTGTATTCATTAATACGACTGAAACAAACGTTTAGTTCATGCAAAGGAAACTACAAATAGTGTGTGTTTGGTTGAATGAGTGATGAGCTTAGAAGGAGCTGTTTACGTTTGGAGGCAGCCATGTTTCTGCAGCTCCTTAGCTGCTCACACAGAGGAGAAGCTTCTGCAACATCACCGCTCACTCGGAGTTTGGAGAACCTGAAAAACAAAGGAGTAATGTTGCTTTATTTCTCCTCTTTGTTTGCTCATAGTCTCGTCATGTCCACTTTATAAGGTGAGAATACGTCAGACCAGCGTTCCAATAGTGGCCGACACATTTCTACATTTGGAGCTGGCTAACCCTCTGAGAGTCCAACGACGACACGTTGTAGAAATGGTGGCTGGTTTGTAAATGGTGGTAATCACATTTTATAGAAGGGAAAGTCATCAGTTTTATTGTGACCAGAAAACGGTTTAAGTGTTACCAGAAAATGTCTGAGCATTGCAGCTGACTTCAGCATAATAAACTAATGGTACGGAGCTTTCATCATCCTAATAGCGCCGGCACGACTGGATCAGGGCCCAGGAGCTCTGTAAGTTAGTGAGGCATGCTAACATACTCGTCCCTGCCTCTGCATCATCAATCACAGAGCAGACGGTTAATGACCTTGTGTTCTGGGGGGGGGGGGGTCACTGCAGGATTGGGTTTACATTGCCCTTTTATAGAGGGCGCCATTATTATTCCCTCTCAAACTGCAACTTTTAACTTGCAACTGATGATTAGCCAAAACACACAGTGTCACATTTTTACTGTAACTCTTTGTGTGGCTTCAAGGCCGAATCCCTTTTAGCTGGAGGACCATAAAGGAGATATGGATCAGAAGCAGTGGCTCCTGCTGTGTGTGCACCGTCATGAAGCTACTCTGCGTGCACGGCGGGCTGCTCAGACTCCTGTATGTCTGGGCTCATGCATGCAGGACGTCTCGTAGGTTCATGCGTCCTCGGCATCTGAAGCTTCGGCAGGATCAAATCGGTGGGTGCAGCTCTGGAGACACCTCCCCCGAGGCTCCGCTCCTCTCTGTGCAGCCGGGCGTTCGCACCAGCGGAGGCATTTTAAAGGCTCCTTCAAAGTGCGAGATAACAACTGGGGGTCTGCCATAATAAGCAACGCAAACAAAACACGCTGGACCAAAGAATGTCAACATGGCAGCCGCGAAGCATCAGGAACATGCGGCGAGGAGACAACGCACAACGTGTCGATCGGCTGCAAGTGGTGGGAGTCGGTAAAAAAGGACCCCTATGGAAAGTCAGACGGACACACAAACTGTTTAGAGGAGTGAGGGTGTGAATTTGCTGTTGTTTGGGTCGCTGTGTGTGAGTTAATCCGGCCTCTTTATACAGGCAGAAAAACACGCTCCCCCTCGGCCGCCCAGGAATGTTAATCTACCAAAGGGCTTTGGTCAAGAGTCCGGTGGCCCGGGCCAGCGAACGCCACACAGCTGACCGGGTGCACCCAGTACACCCCGTCCCAGTGCCTCCTGGAGGAGGATCCAATCAGTTCAAAGCCACAGGGGGGAAAGACATGCAGTCCGACCACAGCGCGACCACGGAAACCGATGAACAGCCAACGATTCCAGACAAATGAAGACAAATAGCAGGAAGAGGAGCAGACGCCTCAGTTTCAGCCGGGCTGCAAAAAAACAGCTTCAGAAACATTTCAGAACCGATTGGATGGATCGTCAAGAAACGTGTCACAAATATTCATGTTTCCCAACCGATGAAAACTATATTTAATTCTTACTCCGCCATGAACTCGACTTGTGTGTTGGGATCAAAAACAGTCTGCACAGATATCGGATGGACTGTTATGAAATTTGTTTCACACATTCGTGTGAACTGGATCGGATAGTAATAACTTAATAAGTAATAAAAAGGCCAAATAGCAGGGTGGTGTCAGTCCAACGGTAAGATCCAGACCAGGGGAAGGTGTCACAGTATCTTAACATTGGGATTAATAGCTTAATATCTTATAGCCCGTTCTTATTCACAGGGAGTCAAATACCAACACTTCTTCTCAGGATCCGATACCCGCACACAAGGCACGCTCCGGAGTCCGGAGGGGAGGTCGAGGGGTCAAACAAACACAGGACTCTCAACAAGGACGCCATGTGACCATGTCACAAACTTACGAGTCTTGCGTGTTATTTTGTTTGTCTAAAAAGCCAAACCAAAAACTCCACTTCAATAAGTGGGATGTTTCCTCCAGCACCCTGGTGTAGCTTAGCAGAGGCGTTAGCTTAGAACCATGTGGCGTTTCATGAAGCGTTTCTTTATACTGCACGTTTATCAGTTCGCTGGTGATGTGCGACCGACGTGCAGGCCGTCCCGTTCCATTTTGAAGGGAAATGAAAATAGCTTCAAAGAGTCCTCCACAAACCCTCTCGGCGACCTCTGTGCTGATAAAATACGCGATTAGCACACAGAAGTTGAGTGAACTTCAGTGCGTTTGCAATGTGCGGATAAGCCGGCGTCGCCTGCCTCTAAATGACAAACTGCCTCAAAACGCTTTGATAATTCCAACTGCTGCTAATTTATGCATCTGGAAATTCGGCTCCATGGGGAGGAAGTAGTTTAGGGAAGGAATGTGACCGGGTGTGTCTCTGCGTATCTGTCCAGACAAATTGCCTTTTCAAGATTTATCGTAAACGAAAGGGGGGACGGGAGTCAACGCGAACACCACCCTGGTTCCCCCCCTAGAGCTCCTCTTGCATCTGGTTTGTGTCGTGCATCACGTGTCCCGGGAGGCCTCTGGTTTATTCTTGGCCTTATCACTGCTACCTCCCGCGCCAGCCACAGTTCACTGCAGAAGGTACAGTAGCCAAGAACGCAGCTTCTTTTAATGAGCCGTGAGTACAGTGGGCTGGCCATCAACAACATCGGTCACCACTTCCCGTTCTTCATGTGCTGAAGTGTTTATAAGGCCTTGTTTTGCACAGACTGAAACAAGTCACAGGTCAGTGTGCTCGGAATCCACTTACCAGAACTTTGTGCGTCTGCCAGATTTGATTTCAGACTTACTTCTTTGAACTGTCAAATAGATGATATATCTATAATATAATGGTGCAAACTTAAGGCACTGATGGAACAGATGAGCCACAAGCTGCCAGCTTCCACACTGGCGCTCTTCATTCCTTCACGTGAGTAACGGCATCCTGCCTGAGCGGGTACAGGCGGGATGTTTTCTGTAACGGCGTCATCCTCCTGTCCTCCCGCATCTTCAGGACGCCTGGCTACGCCCTCAGTGGGGGGGGTCAAAGAGTCGGCGACTCCCCACGGCGCCAACGGGAGGACTGCTGAGCGCTGCATTCCTCAGTCGTGTAAGGAAAAAAGGCATCAGGCGTAAATCATGGCCATGAGTTGTGCATCGATCACACCTCAACAACAGGATCCTTATCCAGTGGATAACGACAACATGTGTGTGTGCGTGTCCCAGGAGTCGGGCTGTTGGATGCCGTCCACTTGTCAGATTCGGATCAAAAGGGAGACGGGGAGGACAGCTGATTGACAGTAATTGTGAAGGAGGACGACGCTTCAGCCATCGCTCTCTGCGTCATCAAGCACTTCCACTGAAAGGAGTTTCATTTTGGATGAACGATTAACCAAATGCCAAACGGCCACCGACATAACATGGAGAACACGGCGAAACGATCACAAGGTCCACTCGCAATTCTGCAGTTCTTCATCTATTCTCAGTTTAACCTTTAACGTCAGGCCGTACCTTTCTATGGGAGGAGAAGCTTGAATTCAATACATTCAAGGGGTTTTGGTGCCTCAGCTCTAAGTGGTCTGGTGTGGCGAGTGGCTGATGTTAGCAGGTTTAGTTAGATGTTCCTCTGGAGGGCACTTCCCTCGCCGTGTGGCCCCTTTTCCACCTCTAGTCGGTCAGTTTGCCAACGGTTGTGTCTTTAAAGCTCAAGATCAAGAACCTTATTCGATGCCGTGTTGTTCTGTAACTGCCAATCGTAGTCTGTGGGGCAACGCTGTGAGCCGCTTTATTTACCTCGTTCACCTGTTGAGTCCAAATGAACGCGGCGCTTTCAGATGGCGGCGGCCATCATCTCTAAAGGTGGTCACCTGATGCATCGTTTCTTCGTACTTATTCCACAGTTTATCCAAATGTTTTTACACGATCAACGCGTCTGTGAGTTTCCCGCGTTGCGTAACCCACCCAGAGCTTTCCACGCTCTCAGGTGGTCTCTCAACTCGTACTAAAGCTCACAGCTTCATTGTTCTTTAATTTATATCTACAAATGTACAACGTCTAGTAAACTCTCTGATGGTAACACAATAAGTTCTACTTGTTTTTCAAATTTTGGGGGTTTAAGTTTTGTGGAGTCTTTCTTTAGGACTCCACTTCATTATTTAGTCTTAATTGGACTTAAAATACCAGCGAAGCAGCTAAAGTAGAAGAACTGAAATGATAAGTGGAAAACAGAGAACATGGAAGCTGCACTAAGGTAGAGCGAGGGAGAGAGAGAGGGAGAGAGAGAGGGAGAGAGAGAGAGAGGGAGAGAGAGAGAGAGAGAGAGAGAGAGAGAGAGAGAGGGAGAGAGAGAGAGAGAGAGAGAGAGAGACAGAGAGAGAGAGAGAGAGAGGGAGAGAGAGAGAGAGAGAGAGGGAGAGAGAGAGAGAGAGGGAGGGAGAGAGAGGGAGAGAGAGAGAGAGAGAGAGAGAGAGAGAGAGAGCCTCTGTTGGCGCTGTGAGGAACCTCCGCTCCTCAGCCAGCAGAAGCGCGAGCAGCGCCTCGTCCCGTCATGGCTCTGCGTCTCTGAACGCCTCACGCGGACATCGGCGCTGTGGACGCGAGGATGGAGACGGCGCTTTACCTGCTCGCCTGCGCCTCGCTGGCCCGCGGGACTTGGGCTCTCGGGTACGCGGATCCCGGTGCTCATAGCGGGCAGAGAGCGGCCAGCAGACACCGGTAAGACCCGCGGGACGGGGACCAGCGGGGGGGGGGTCGTGAGGAGGTAAGGACCCCGGTGAGGGACGTCGGGTTCCTCAGAACAAGATGCGCTGCTTCTCTCAAGCTTCTATGATTACAAACCGAAAGTGTGTGTTTTGTTATTCTGGATAATTCTTCTTTTAAACAACCAAAATAATACTTTTTTTCCTACTTTTTTCCTAATAAACAATGATGATATGATCTCTCATATAAAATAACTATAACACTCAGCAAAAAGCCTCCTTTGACGTCATTGAAACCTTCACATTTATTCCCTTTCAGAAGTGTTTAATTCATGGTTATTTTCAGAATAAATGTCTTGTCGGTGGTTAGGTCCTGCAGGGCCCCTCCCTGGAGGATGTGTGTTAATGCAGAGTAGGGGGGCGGTGGGGGGGCAGAGCTGGACAGGATTTATCGCCCCAAGTGAACCGTGTTTTTTGGGGGCCCGGAGTTTGTCGTTCGTAGGGATATTCATCATTGCGGTGAACTGCATGCCTCAAGTCAAGGAAAGGTGAATGGGCTCTACTGGGGGGGTAGTGACACCCCACAGGAATACTGGACGTCAATGCAGAAGACTGATTGACTCCCCGTCTTGTCCTCTTATTGGACCCAGTGAGTAAATCTTCTGATCTCAGAGATGCTTGATTGACAGTCGCCTGTAGATCAGCGATGGCTGTTTTCGTTGTGCTGCTGCAGCCCCCAGTGTGTTGTCACTGTGTCATTGGGGCCACAAGCGTGCACGACCCCCTGGCCTCTGTTCACTGATGTGTGGCGTGTTTGTGGGCCACGGTGGGGAGACATGGATGGTCGCCCTCTTTGCTGTATGATGGAGATGTACCGTTGCCTACTGGGAATGAGAGAAAGAGGGCGCCATGGAAAGAGTGAGAAACGTCAAAGGCAAAGAGAGTGAGAGAGGTGCGGTAGGAATAAAGAAAATAAAGCAGGCGTAACAAGAGAGGACGGAAGAGTGAGAAAAGGGGGGGGGGGCCTCGCCGGAAGGGAGAGGAGACAGACTGACAGTAGAAGAGAAGACCGGACCAGGAGCCGGCAGGCTGATGGCGTCAGCGTGGCTTCCCTGTGACGTAGGGGGGGGGGGGGCGTGGATGGTTGGCCCCTCTGACACCCGTTTGAACCCCATGAATCTGTTTTGACAGATGTGTGAAGTGCTCCATTAGCGATAAAGGCGAGCTGAAGGTACCTTCGAGAGGTCTCGGGCGGGACTAAAGGCGAGAAGCAGATACGTCACACATACTCATACTGCACTTATTGCGTTAGCGTTGCAGTGCTCCACACAGGAGCCACAATGCTGGACACACTTCAACTCGGCTGCTTTTACGGCCTTCTGCTTTGCGGATTTTGCAAGAAAATCCTGAGAGCCAAAGAGACAAAAACTTTGTTCTGAAGCCATCAGCCTGAGGGAGGCCAATACGAGTGCATGTGATGAAGCCAAGTCCAGGTTTTAGGATTTGGGCCCGGGCTTAATTCTATGAATGAGTCCTCTGTGGTGTGGCCTAATTCCAAGTACTAGCGTCCTTCCAAGTTTGTGGTGGCAGTTAAGGCAAGGCATTTTCCTGGTTTAGTGTGTCAATGTCCCCCCGTGCACAAAGCCCGGCCCAAACAGAAATGGTTTCCCCAGTTTGGTGTGGAACAATTTTAATGGTCTGCACAGAGCCCTGAACTTCATCCAGCGTCTTTGTGGAGACAGTATCTCCCAGTCAGAGTCAGAAAGGCCCCTTTAAGGGACCGAAACAACAGATGAGAACCAAATCAAGCCATGTGTATGTACATGAGCAAAGGGGGCCCAGGATTCCCTACTCACCCACCGGCTGGAGAGAGAGAAACGAGTCCCGCCTTGTATTCAGAAGTGCCCTAAACCTGCATCCTCTCTACTGTCCACCAGGGGGCGACTCCTCTGCTCCCATAGACGTCTATGAGGAAATGACTCTACTTCTCTGTAGTGACCAGCAGGGGGCGACTCCTCTGCTCCCATAGACGTCTATGAGGAAATGACTCTACTTCTCTGTAGTGACCAGCAGGGGGCGACTCCTCTGCTCCCATAGACGTCTATGAGGAAATGACTCTACTTCTCTGTAGTGACCAGCAGGGGGCGACTCCTCTGCTCCCATAGACGTCTATGAGGAAATGACTCTACTTCTCTCTTGATTTATTCCCTCGGTAAACACTGTAAACACGAGTTTATGGTCTCAGTCTCTAGTTTCAAGTCTTCTTCAATACAGCATGATGTTCATTTTAGTAAATTATGGTCTGTTTAGAGCCAAATATGCACTAAATACAGCTGTTTTCTCCTTTGTGAGATAAACATAAAGGAATGAGTCAGATCTCACTAAAAATGGGGTACAAGCCTTTCTAGTAGAATGGATGTCTTAAATTATATGGCAAACAATCACAAAGGACTGCAAATGTCATGAGTTATGATAATATGATTGTCTGTGCATATGGTTATGGGCTTGCGTTGTAAATATCACACATTCTGTCGGTCATACGTGACTCTGCTTTTGTTGGTGAAACGCAGGAGGTCACAAAAAACCTTTGGAGTAGATTAACATCAGCAGGCCATGTACTCTGATGGTGGTAGAGGATCTGAATAATTAAAAGGCAACCTGGGCCTTGGCAGTACATATCCCAGAATGCACTGTACTATGGTAAAAAGTTGTGATACCAAAGTGATGCGTTGTGCTGGCGAACACAATGTAAACATATTCATCCAAACCCACTTCGCCTGGGAGGGGTTTCTGCTAATCAGGGGAATAAAACAAATCTCATTAAATATGGTAATGTGATCGTGGGAAATGGGATCGTTTCCAGTCACCACCATCGTAAGTTAATCACCAAGGTTCCCAGCATTCATTTCATTTAAGAAAGCCTTGTTTACCTTGTTTAAATTAACCAACAGAGATGCTAGAGAGGTGTGGACGCCGTCCCAATACTCTCCCCATCAACCTGTTAACATCCTCTGTACTTAAGGAACAAAAGGAGAGACATTCAAAGTCTGTTTTATACCTCAGAGCAGTCAAACTAGAGTTCTACCTGCATAAACAGTCCCGACTATGTTTGGCAGGCGTGACTTTAAGGCCTGGAGACGTTTGTCTTGAAAAGCTCACGCCTCCATAAATGGTTAAAATCCGAGTGTACCACAAAGAGCCTTCCGGGGTACCTGAGCTGCATCGCTGCAGCACATGTCAGCACCGTGGACAAGCTCTGTATGTCTTCATGAGCGCCGGGCAGAACAGCCAGAGAGGTTTACACAGTCCCCACATGCTGGACCCCGTCCAAAAGGCGTGCGTGAGCCCGGAGGAATGTGCGTGTCTTTGTGTTGGTTTGCTGGCGGGAGCGAGTGCGCTGGAGTGTGCACGTGGTCGGCGGAGCACTGTACGGGGGGTTTACCTTTCCAAGGACGTTGGAGGAGGTGCTTGACCTTTGGGGCCACAGTTCAAACGGCGAGGCACGCCCTCCCCTCCATCCGCTCATTCAGGCGCTGTCGAGACTTTCCCTTGGAGGTAGA